TGGATTCTCTGATAGCCATCCCTGAAGCTTCACAGAGTGTGCGGCTGCCAGATTCCTGCACTTCGAGTGAAGGCAGCTGTCATTTTTTACTTTATTTTCCTTTTGTTATGATACATCAAGATCTCGCCCTCAGAGTTATGAAAATAAAGAGTCTGTGGACTACAAAGGAAGTGTTTCACACTGGAACACCAACATTTTACTAGAAAAATATGCTTTCAAATACTGGATAAAACTGGTTGACATAGAACTTTAATGCATTCTGCTAGAGACTAGAAGATTCTTCTGATAAATTGTAGTAATATGATGATTTTTCTCTTTGTGACTCATGGAGTGTCTTTACATATCATTTATTTGGAACTTTGCTTTTCTTCAAACTCTCCTCAGTTTAGCTCTGGCTACTGCACTCGTTCCAATATTAAGGATTGGAAGCAAGTAGTCCACCAGTTGGAGAATATACACAGTATTCTCAGAACCTGGAAAGGAAGCTTTATTGTTTCCATGGACCCTGTCTTAAAGAGTCTCACAAACTTAGATATTTTTTCCTTTGATGACCACTTGCCCATAACTGCCTGAGGAAGTGAGAAGTCTTTGAGATTGCTACCAGGATCCTTTATGAATGTCTGTGAAAATATTCACTGATACTTCGATGCCTGGTGGCTCCTCCAAACATCATCACATTCTTCTAATGTTACTAGGTGTGCAGTAGGCATTTAAGAGAAATTGCTGAGTTATAGGAAAGTGTGGGATTGAAGTATTTCTTAAGAATATTTGAACGAAAAGAAATATCCTTCATTAGCCTACATTTAAAAAAATAAAACTTAGGGGACCAGCAGGTGGTGTAGTTGTTAGAGCACTGTACTCCCACGTGGCCGACTGTGGTTTGAGTCCTAGGCCTGGTGGCTTGCTAATAACAAGAAAAATTAAATAAATAAAATAATTCTTAAAAAAAAATATATATATACATATATACACACATATATAAACTTAAGGGCCAGCAGGTTGCATGGTGGCTAAGGCACTGAACTCCAACATGACTGACTGCGGTTTGAGTCCCAGACTCAGTGGCTTAAAAATCATGCTAAGCATGTGCATGTGCATGTCCAAAATCCCAAGAGGAGGAAAGAGGAGAAGAGACTGGTGTCCCCATCTTCCCTGGGGAGGTGATTTCTCACTTTCTCTCTTTCTGTCTCTCTCTGAGGGTGAGCACATGCACCCTATGGCAAAAATCTTAAAACAAAACAAAACAAGCTGAACAAATACTTAGTTAGCTATTCTAATTCTTTATGTTTCATATTCCTTCTTTCCTGAAAACTGCCTCTTTCTTGGATCTTGAAAACTCAAGGTAGGAGTAGCTCATAGGCTTCAACATTAGGCTAATTCTCTACACCACATAGATCATTTAAATAGTTATTAAAAATTCAAAGAAAAGGCCTATTTCCTCTCTAAACATTGACCCAATTCAAGAAAAAAAAAAATCTTGGGTTAGAATTGATCTCAGCACTATTGACATTGTGGGTTGAATAATTCCTCACAGTAGGAGGTTGTCCTGTGCATGATAGGACTTTCAGCAGCATCCCTGGTTTATGACAACTACAAACATTTTCAGACTTTACCAAATGCTTCCTGGGGGACCATTCACCCCTGGTTCAGAACTACTCGCTTTAACTATCCAGAAATAGTTTTCTCGTTAAGTAGAGTGAAATTGAGTGCTGCAGCTACTTTTATCTAATCTTCTTGATCAGGTGAAAGGCTTCATTGAAAAGGCAGTTTGTCTATTTGGATGTTCCACTGGTTGTATCTACCTGTTCAATCATGGTGGCCGATGTTCGTTCTTAGGTCCCATTTCACTGCCAAAAAACAGGGACTCCCTTCCTCTGTCAGGCTCTGGAAGCCTGTTCATGTGCTGTTTGATCATCTTTTTGACTATATAGTTATTTAGAGACCCCCTCTGACTTTCTATACTCTTTGAGATCTGGGTAATTTCTCAGTTCTTTGGAAGGCTTCTACTATGCTGCTAAAATCTCTACTTCTCCCTTCCATATTATCATAATTTCCAATTTAAACTGAGCCTGCACAGCAACTTGGAGAGATTGGAGTCTGGCTGATTTGATCGGGGTGTAGATGTATAGCACAGGAAATAAAACTTTGACTTTGAGATTACAAATGTGATCATGGAAAAGAATCCTGTAATCACATATTGTTCAATGATTACAAGATGGCACACTATTTGTTTGGGAAGAGTTTTACTGGGTGTTTAAAGTGAGAAGTGGCTCTAGTATACTAAATACTTAAATTGTTTTATCTTAGGAACCAGCAGATGGTTACATTGTTGGACTCCCACATAGTTGACCCCAGTTTGAGTCTTGGACCCGGTGACTTAAAACTCATGCCAAGTGCATGTGTGTGTGTGTGCCCAAGATCCTGAGAGAAGAGTAGAGGAGAAAGAGCTGTGGTGTGGCCATTCCCCCTGGGGGGGTGATTTCTCCCTTTCTGTCTCTCTGTCTCTCAGGCCTATAGCAAAAATCTCTCTCTAAAAAGGAAAAAAAAATTATGTCCTATAATCTTCAACAAAGCACCCTGCAAACACCAGTTCTGAAAAAAAAAGGCTTTTTCTAAGGCAGAGTTACAGGCACTTTGGGGAGTTATAAACCCAGACAGGCTCCAGAAATATGTGCCTTCCAAGGGCTGGAAACTTCTGAATCAACAACAAATAATCAGTGAGTGTGACAAAGAGTTAACGCACACAGACTTACTTTCACAAAGTTTATGATCTAGTAAAGACGTTTAAGATTTAGACCTGAGATTACAAACTGATGGCCAGCAGCTAAATTGGGACCATGGATTTGTTTTGTTTGGCTTGTACAGGACTGGCCTCCTGAATGTCTGAGAGGGAGAGAAAAGAGGAAGAGAGGAGAGGAGAGGGAGAGAAAGAGAAAGGGAAAGAAAGAAGCTGCCTAACAGGTAAAACTGAGATTTTTTTCCCCATAAACATCCAATTTCTCAGTTTTTTTTGAAAATCAGAAGACACTGGGTTCTTATTTCCATATTTCCTCATGGTGACAGTGGCTGGAGTTGCAAGGCCGCTGACCGCTTCCATTGGAGTAGGCAGTCTCTGGTTCCCCACACGGATGGATTTAGATACTCACCAGGCTTTTGTCAGCACTTGAGATGGCTGCCCCAATGCAGAACTTTCAGCAACATTTAGCTTCTTCCCCATGGAAATAAATTGCTGGAGCCTCCAGCAAAACAGCTGCAGCCCCCTGTCAGGTAAGATGACCTTGGGCTCTCAGGCCATGAAGGACAGAGGTGGCAGTAAAGGTGATGAGAAATGGTCAAATGTAGGTTTTATATATATATATATAATTTTTTTTTAAGAGAGATTTTTGCTATAGAGCATGTGCACTTGCCAGAGAGACAGTAAGTGAGAAATTTCCCCAACCAGGGGAGATGGCTGCTGCAATTCCTTCTCCATTCTCCTCTTGGGATTTTGGGCACATACACACACACACACACACACACACACACACATGCACCCTGCATGAGTTTTAAGTAGCCAGATCTGGGTCAGGAAACGTGGTATACTGTGTGGACGTCCAGTGATGTAAACATTATACTATCTGCTGGTTTTAGGTTGTACTTTGAAGGTAGAGTTAAAACAGGAATTCTTGATGAATTGGATTAGAGTGTAAAAGAGAAAATTCCAAAATGACTCCAATTTTGTTATTTAATTTATTTTAAAAGAAATCCTGGAAAATCAGTATGGACTTTTTAATTTTTTTTGGAAAGGTTTTTGCTATAGGGTGAGTGCGCTTGCCAGAAAGACAGACAGACAGAGAGAGAGAGAGAGAGAGAGACAGAAAGCAAGAAATCACTCCCCAGGGCAGATGGCCATGCCGACTTCTCCTCTGGGGATCTTGGGCAGGCACTCACACACACTCTCCTCTGGAGATCTTGGGCAGGCATGCACACACACCCTGCATTAGTTTAAGCCACTGGGTTCGGAACTCGAACTGCGTTCGACTACAGGAGAGTCCAGGGACATAGCCATTAAACAAACTGCTGGTTCCAGTACTGACTTTTAAAAAATAAACCCCAAATTACTGATATTTAACAGCTTTTCCTCATTAGTACTTCCTAAATTGAGAGCCCTATGTGGTACAAATATCATATTCTGGCAAATGCCGACATTTAGGGAACATGGAGGGAAAACGTACTGAGAAGACCCTTCATTATTGAGAAAAGAAAAGTCCAGGAAATGGGATGGAAATTCTTAGCCTGTGGACTGTCCAGGGGCTGAGTCCCCATGGGATCTCCCCTGATCCCCAGGAAGAGTATGCATCTTGAACTGAGGATGCACCCCCAGAGCGTGGACAGTCTCACTCCTGGAACCCCCATGTCAGGCACAACCTCCATACTCAAGGGGGCAGCAAGGGCTCCCAGACTGTCATATGGGAGGAGTTACTTGGCCGCAGTCAGTAAGAAGCTGTCAAGTGTTCAAAAGCTTGTTTGGAAGCTACGTCTGCGCAGAACAAGGACTCTTCAATCAGGTTTACATTACGTATCAATAAAAATACCTAAGTCCTATTCAAAGATGTCTCTGTTTTCACTTTACATGTAACAGAAAATCTCCACTTCTCCATATCAAGGGCAATTCCTTTTTCCTATTATAAGGTGGGTTAGTGGAGGCTTCTGGTGACTATTCTCAGGCTCGGCCATCGACGTGAGAAGCTTCGGCTGATGCAAAGTCGGGGGCCGAGGGAACGGAGCCAAGCACCCACGCTTCCTTCACCAGGCCAGGCAAGGCAGACCTCCGTCCCGCGGTCACTCGGCCGCTGGCGCGCATGCGCCGACCGCAGCGGCGCCCTCGCAGCCTTCTTCCCTCCCTCCCTCCCTCCCTCATCCGGGTCCCGGGCGAGCGGACGCCGTGCGCGTGTCCCGAGGCCGAGCTGCTCATCAAGTTGAGCGAGGGGAAGCCCAGCGACCGCTCGGGGAGAGCGCGCCTAGCCGGTCGGTGAGTGCGTGAAGGGCCCCGGGGTGGGCGAGAGGGACTGGGGGCTGCAGACTTTACCCGGATACGACTCGGCCACGGGCCTTAGGGGCCGGACTCCGGCCGAGGCGTTCGGCCGCGGGCGGAGCGGAAACGACCCGGGGGAGCGGAAACGACCCGGGCCTGCGGGGCGGGAGTTAGGCCGAGTCCTGGCCTGCCGGGGTCCCGGCGGGCGGGGGTGGTGCGGCCCAGCCGGCTGCTGAGGCCTCGCCTCGGCCCCGGGCGTCCTGAGGCGGGGCCCGGGCTGACTGGTCCCAACCGCGCCGTTACCGCCTGGACTGTGGAAGGAGGCGTTCGGGACGCCCCCGAGGGGATGCCCCTGCCCCACTGTGGCCAGAGGAGCGGTTTGCTCTCCTGCCCCATCTGAGCACCACCCCGGATACACACCCCTGATAGGATTGCCGTGCTCGGTGGTGCAGCCTGGTCTGCTGCGCTGCAAAGCTGTCCAATGGCTCGATGAATCCGTGCCGCCGTCGCTTTGTGTTTCAGAGATAAGGATCCACGCTTATCGGTGGGAATTACACCCTGGGCAGTTGTGACCTGCTACTGCACTCAACTGGTAGTTACACTTGGTTTCCGCCGCTTGCCATGCCAGTTTTCACCATTGAAGAGAATTTTATTTTCTGCTTCATGTAAACTTAAGTATGCTCCACGGAGAATGCTGAATTAGTGTCTTATTAATTTATTTATTTATTTATTTATTTATTTATTTATACATACATACATACATACATACATACATACATACAGCCTCTGCATTTCACTTCGGTATCAGTACTCAGATTCATATTCCAGTCTCTTCCCCCTCCCCCTTTCCTCTCTTCCTCTTTCAGCTGCTGTTATTACGTGGAGTTTGGAGCCTTAGCTTTGAAAACTCCCATGTGGCGCCTGTCTTAAGTTAGAGCATGCTCAGTAGCCCGAACAGATTTTGGTTGCAAAAAAGAACTGGGGAGAGGATAGTCGGGGTAGTTGGACGTTTGCGAGCTTCCTAACAAAATGTTCCAAATCTGGTTCTGATGGTATTGGAGAATGGAGTTGAGGCCGGCCCGGAGGTGAGGAATGCCTGAACACCCTGGGCCAGATCTTTATCTTGATTGTAAAGACAATGTTTCCTGACCAGCTGGAGGTTGGCGGTGGGGGGCGCGGGGGGAGCATTCCTGGCTGCCGGTGCGTTTGAATGGGTGTGGTGCTAAGTGTATCTTGTTTACCTTATCTTTCTGTGGAAAAAGTTCTGAAGTCGGTTGGGTTTGTCACATCATGCTTGTTGCCTAGCACTACCAAAAGTGTTCTTATCTAGTAACAAAGACTGGGTAGGTGGAGGTTGTGGCATGGCCTCTCACAAGTTGAGAGGACTGGGTACTACTGTTGGTGTTTTTTTTTAATAATTTTTTTTTTAAAGGAGAGCACTTGAATTTCTTTAGAGACTCTCTGAATTGCCTGGGGTGAGTTTTTAATTTTAATTTGAAAGGTCAAACACCTTGCTCTGTCGGTTTAATAACTTTCCAAATGACAGTTTCATGTTTATTGATTCGAATATCATTAGAAAATTAGTACGCTCCAAATTCTTTAAGTAAGGGATTACTTGTGGATCTGTAACAAATTATTTTACATATTTTTTTTAACACCTTAGTTAACTCTTTTCCCTCTAAGGTGAACTCCAAAATTATAAATATATTAAACAACTGGGGCCAGCAGGTGGCATGGTGGTTAAGGGCACTGGACTCCCACATTGCCAACAGTTTGAGTCCTGGACCTAGCAGCTTGCTTTCTCACTTTCTCTTTTTCTCTCATTCAGTCCTTCTCTGGTAAAGTTGAAATAAATAAATAAGTGGATAAGTAAAGTTAAATAAAATAATTATTTTAAAAATTGATTTACAAAAACAAAAAAACTCAGAGGAGGCAAATTAACAAACTTTTCACCTTTATAAAGGTTGTATTATGTTTATTTATTTATTTATTTATTTTTAAGTTTGCCCTAGGGTGTATGTGCTCACTGCAGAGAGAAAGTGAGAAATCATCCCTCAGAGGGGCTGGCGATGGCCTTGTTGCAATGCCTTCTTCATTCCCCTCTCAGAATTTTGGGCATTGTGGTGTGTTTTTCAAGCCTCAGGGTCGTGGACTGGATCTGTACAGTCTGCCACATTGGATCCAGTGGCCTTAGCCCCCAGGCTGGCCTTATGTTTAGATTTTAAAAATGTGACTTTTGTTTATGACTGCTGGCCTGATCCTCCCAGTTGCATCCGCCTTTCTTTTCCTTCCTTCTGTATTAATGCGTTGGTGCTCCCGCAGTGAGCCCTTTGCTATTACCACAGAAGCTTACCCATGTATCTTTTGTTTCAAATACCTCTTCATATTTTGTGCTTCCATTTCTTTCAGATTATAGCTGAAATAGGTAGTAAAAGTTCGGTGAACCTTCTCAGTTGACCTTCCTTTTAGGCTTTAAACACATTCATATGATATGGTCTAGTTAAAAGGAGGAAGAGAGTAAGAAACTGATGGAAAAAAAAAACAATAAAATACTTTTTTTAAGTTCTCTACAGATCTAGTAGTTATTATCTGCTTGTCTGGTTCACTGTGGTAGGCGCCACAGAAATGGGTGGATTGATATGTGTTGCATTTCTTTCCCCCTCTGGCAAAGTCAGCTATTAATTTCAGTGGGAGACAGTGGCAGAATGTTGTCACTAATGAGGTTTGAATCAGATTGTTGTTTACAGTTGGTTATGTAACATGTTGCTGAGAGTATTATTAAAAGTTGCATTCTGTAGCAAGGTAGAGGCAAGTAAATTCTGCTTACCCTCTTCCCTGGGTTTTAATTCTTGGCTGAACCTGAAGGCACATTAGACTACAACCATAATTATACCTGGGCGGCCTGTCTGTTTCCTGTTTTCATCATGAATCCAAACATTATGATTTGCAGTGATGATCTTTTTTGTCCTTTGTGTTAAACAGAGGTAATGTGTTTTCTCTCTCTACTGAAAACAGATTTGTGACTTGGTCAAATCAAAGATTTTGGTGTTTTGAATACTTAGACAGTAAGATACCAAACAATTTTAAAATTATTTCTTAATAGCAAAAAACTTTAAAAAAAGTACTTCGTACATGTTCTTTGATTATATTTTATGTAAATTTCAATATTACCAGTAGTTTGTAGTTTTTGAATCAAGAAAGCCCTTTTTGTTTACAGCTTATCAGTGTTTATTACTACCAGATGTATATGTTGGTTTGGGCAGTGAGCCACACATCTGGGTGAATTTCAGAGCAGTTGAGTACACTTTCAGATATAGGTGCCTTACTCTCCTAGTTTATCAGTCTTCTCTGTTCTATTTCTAGAAGGTCTTATGCCCCCTTTTTATGCTTTATTAAGTAGAAGCCAAAACAGTGTCTTAAAATGTTATAGGTACCTTATATCCTGTGGTTTGCTATCTTCTGATAAGGTCAAAGACTTTGGAGAAAATTCTCTTTTGTAAGGGACAGTATGAGGAATGATTCTTATTTCCACCAGTCTGGATATTCTGGGGAAAAAGAGTATCTGAAAAGGTAAGGCCCAAGAAAGCTGGAATACACAGATACAGGGTGCTTTCCCAGCAAAGATCGTAATGAAGAACCCCCAGAAGTATACCCATGTCTTTTTATACCTTGTTTTTCCACTCCGAAGTTACTAGAATAATGCTGGATATTCAGTTCATTGCTGCTGTCAAACACCATTTACCTCTAACCAGATGCTCTGAATGGGCCAGCAGGTGGTGTGATAGTTAAAATGCTGGGCTCCTACATGGCTGACTGCAGTTTAAGCCTTGGACCATCAGCTTGAAAAATCACTCCAGGAGCATGCACATGGGCAACCTAAATCAGAAGAGGATGGAGGAGATGAGATTGTGATGTGGCCATTCCCCTTTGGGGGTGATTTCTCACTTTCTGCCTCTTTCCAGCAAGCATACTCACCCTATAGCAAAAACCTAAAAACAAAATAACAATGAAAAGACTTGGGAAGAATTTCCAGCTTGTTAGGATCTGCTAATTTCCCAGTCTTAAAATTGACCTTCATTTTCTAATAGCTTTTATTTCACAACTTGGAAAGATGGGGTATTTATAGAGTCCCTTTAGGTTTTTCATAATCAGCTAGTTCTAGGCTCTTCGTATAGTTTAGTTTCTTTTTTCCCTTTTGGTTAGCTAGGTAGGGAGGTTTTTGGTGCAATTCTAGTAAAATACTGCTTTTGGTGACTTTTCTTTCTACTTGTACTGTATTCTCCTTTGGTTGAGATAAAAGTCTGAAAAAAAAAGAGTTGTAGATTAAGATGGTTTTGTGTATGCAATACTTTATAATTCACTTTTGGAAGCTAGTTGTTAAAGTATATTTGGAAAATAGTTTTGCTCTTGAATTCTCTGGGATCTCAATCTCTGCCTGTTATGCATATGTAATGTACAGACTGGTACTCCATGGAAATTTGAGAACAGTTTGATTTATTGTGGTAAGATTTTAACTGGAGTTTTTTCTTTTGATTTTCATATATATTCTTTTCATTTCTTTTTTAAAAAGAATTAGTTATTTAATTTTATTTACTATTATTATTTTTAGTTTGCTGTAGAGATGAGGCAACCTGCTTTCTTATCACACCCTCCTCCCCCCCCATCCCCAATCCCCGATCTCTGCTGATGCGTGTTCAGGTATAGGAGGAGAGAGAAAGTGAGAAAGCAAGCCACCAGGTCTGGGACTCGAACCGTGGTCAGTCAAGGAGTGTCTAGTGCCTTAACCATCATGCCACCTACTGGCCTCTATATGTTGTTTTTTATTACTGAGGTTGTCTGGAACATATGATGTATTTTTCCATGTTTTTCTGTGTAAAAATGTGTCATGACTTTCCCGATGACCCAGTATTAAAATACAAAAGAACAAAAAAAGTGTCTCCTCATTTTTCTCTGAGCATTGCAACTAAAGTCTTGGGAGGAGAATTAGACTTTTCAGATTTAACCGTGATCTCAGAATATGGCTAGTGTTTTCAAGGCAAGTTTTTTCAGTTTTGTTTTCATGATGTGTTAGGATCTGTCTAGTACCCTGTTTGGTAGGCTGTTTAACTTTAGATCTAGTTATTCTGTATTGTGCGTTCCCAGGAAGAGTACTACAAAAAATTTTCAAAGGCAGTCTTTCGTTTTGTTTTCTCTTGCTTATGTCTTCCTGTCTCCCTTAAGTTAGTGGTCTACTTAATGCGTTGACCATTCACTTCCCACTCTAGAGAGTCAAAAGTGTAAATTAAATGAATGGTGACTGGAATGAAAAATGTACCCAGAGTCGGGAACCAGCAGTTAGCGTAATGGCTATGTCGCTGGACTCCCCCGTAGTCGACCGCGGTTCGTGTCCCGGACCCGGTGGCTTAAAACTCACGCCGGGCGCGTGTGCGTGCGTGCCCAAGATCCCGAGAGGAGAATGGAGGAAAAGGGATTGCGGCGTGACCATCCCCCCTGGGGGGGTGATTTCTCGCTTTCTGTCTCTATGTCTCTCTCTGTCTGTCTGGCGAGCGCACGCGCCCTACAGTGAAAATCTCTCCAAAAAAAAAATGTACCCAGAGCCACATTTAATCCCTTTTCTTCTAAAGTAGGGAACTTGAATTCTGGGGTGCACATGAGGTATATGGAGAACATCTTGATAATGCATTGAAATAGGCTTTGTATACATAGGTTCACTCTTTGTGTTCCAGAGATACATTATACAGTAATGATCTGGTATCTGCACTTGTTGATTTTATAATTTAAAGGAAAGCACTATGAAGATGGACCAGCTCTGTCTCTTCTTGTGTCTGCAAGTCTATACAGGCATACTTAAACACATCTGGTCGCAGTGTAGGAAGTCTTGCAGGCTTTGTGAGGGTAAGGATGCATCCAGCTCAGGGTCTACTTGATTAGAGGACTTAGAGGGGGCAGGTGAAGTCTAAGGAATGATTAAAAACTGAGAAACAAGTCTGAATGTGGGAGACAAAAAAGTAGAGACTTGTGTGGGCACAAACAATAGGCAAGAAGATGCTGTGAGAAGTGTCAGGGATCATGAGTTCAGCTCCTGAAGGGCTGTTGAATCTACTATGAGAATGTTTGATGTCTTTGGAAATTAGGAGCCACCATTGGGGAAAATAGTGATTTAAGTGTTTCTCTAGAAAATAATTTTGGTGTTTTTGTGATTATATCCTCTCATCTTTATAAATGTTCCCGTGAAGAGTAGTCTATCTGAATCTTGAAGGGTTGTGGGCATACTTGATTTCAGTTCTTTCGCTTTTCTGCCTGCAATTGTGGATGGCTTAGAAGTTTTGTAGTAATTTTATACTTGGATCTAAGGTTTATTTAAGAGTGTTAGTGGGTTTCTACTCTTGCTGATCCTTGGTAACTACTATTGATTTAGAAACCCAGGGGTAAGAGATTTTTAAAGCTTAATAACCTCACCAATCTCCTCTACCCTGAAAAAATTACCTACCTATATATACACACACATACACACACACTCATACACATATACATCTACACACACACACACACACACACACACACAAATGGCAGTCTTCTAGTGCAGTTGATCCTGAGCACCGTATTCTCAAACCTGCTAAATAACCTGGGATTCTCATTAAAAATGTAGGAGGGGGCCAGGCAGCGGCACAGTGGTAAATGCAGTGCTCTGTGGGGCTGACCCACATGATAAGATTTTGATTCACATCTGGTGACCTTCCCTGACTATAGCTAGGCATGTGTGTGCCTGTGTTCGGTGTTAGCTAAAACTGAGGGTGGAACTCAGTCTCAGGACCTCATTGGGGGTGTTGTCAATCTGACTTTCTCATACGCACATTCTCTCTCTCTCTAAGTCTCTCTTGCTTATGGAAGAAATAAAATAAACTTTAAAAATGTGGAATATAAAGCCCTACTCAAGTTTTATGAGCCTGAATTTCAAAAGATGGTTTTGAAGAATTTATTTCTTTTCTTCCTTGCTTTTTTTTAGGTTTTTGTCTTACAGGCGGGTGTGCTTGCTGGAAAGAGACAGAGAGAGGGAAAGTGAGAAATCACTTTCTAGGGAGTATGACCATGCTGCAATCCTCTCTCCTCCACTATCTTCTCAGGATTCTGGGCATGCATGCAGGTATGCCCAGTGTGATTTTCAAGCTGCCTGGTCTAGGACTTGAACCACTGTGTAATAGTCTAGCACCTTAACCACCAAATACCTGCTGGCCCAGAGGAATTTGTTTCTTTTCCTCTTCTTTTTTTTTTTTTTTTTAACTTTATTTATGTATTTCCTGAGAGATGGAGGGAGGGAGACAGATGTATATCCTCAGAAGGGTCTTTATCCTGCCATTCTGCCCCAAGCCCTGCAGTGAGCCAGGATCGTGTGCATGCCCTGCATGTTCAGGTAGACCTGGGATATGAACCCACAGCCTTTGCATATGGTCTCCAGCATTGCATAGCAGTAGTCCTACCACCCACATTACTGCTAGGCCTATTCCATAATTCTGTTGTGCAGGTTTGGGTTAGATGATAGTGGGTTGTGACCCATGGGGGCATTTACATGGGATAATGTGCTTAGGGGATTTTGTTTTATTTTGGCCATTAGGTTAATGTTGGGGATTAGTTTGCTTGCCTTTCATTTTTAGATCAAAGAAATCAGATGTCAGAGTAGAGACTGAAGGAGATGTTTCTGTGAATTTACTTATGTCTGGGTATGAGCAGTTTGTGTGTGTGTGTGTGTGTGTATCTGTGTGTTTAGGTGAGGGAATTGTGGAAGGTTTGTGTGTATGCTTTGAGAGCTTGTCAGGATGTCTTAGTAGCCTAAGTAAGAACAGGACCTTGTGGTTATTGATACCAATATGACTTCATTTGAAGTGAAAGGCTTGTGAAGCTTAGTGACATTTTATTCATACATTTAATGTGTATAAATTTTAATCCTGAGCTTCCTTCAGCTTCTTTTAAAAAATTCTTTTTTCTAGAGGGCACATGCGCTTGCCAGGGAAAGAAAGAGAGAGGAAAAGTGAGAAAGCACCTCCTTCCATGGGGAATGGTCACATCACAGTCCCTTCACTTTTGGGATTTGGGGCACACGGGTGCATACACCCAGATCCACGAGGTATCCAGCTACCTTAACCATCACAGCAAGGCTGGCCCCTCTAGCTTCTTTATCAGCTTTTCCCAACTCAACTGATGACAAACCCCATTCTTCCAGTTGCCCGACTGACACCTTGGAATCTTGTTGACTCTGTTCTCACATACCTCCTATCTCTGCCATCAGGAAACCTATTGTCTCTCATGGATCGGCTCCTCACCACCCCACTGCTGTGCTATCACCCTGGTCTAAGCCGTCATCATCTCACCCAGATTACTGCAACTCTGAACTGGTCTTCCTGCTTTTACTCTTGCTGTCCATCCTTCCCCCATTCCCTCCATTATGCAGCCAGAGTGATTCTTCAGTAAAATAGATCAGGAAATGACATGTCTCCAGTCAGAGTTCCCCAGTGGGCCCACATTTTATGTGTAGTAAAAGGTCTTTCAATTCTTTGTGTATGCCAGGCATATGCTCACCTTGGGACCTCGGTGTTGCCTGTAATGTTGCCACAGATGACTGCCTGGCTCATTCTCTTATTTCCTTAAAATTTCGACTCATCTGGTACCGCTCAGTGAGGCCAGCCCTGCCAACTATATAATATGCTACCTTTCCTCTAGCACTCTCCATCCTCCTTCCCCTG